TCGCCAGACCTCTTCTTTCTTTTTGACTTTACCTTTGGATACTATCAAGGCCCCGGAATGGAACCAAGATAACAGAATAGGTGCTCCTTTGTGATAATGGGCTATTTGTATCTCTGAGGGCTTCCAGTTAGGATGGTCATTCAAGAAATTTCTTCTGCCCTACCTTTTCTCACATTCTATGTTTACTAGTCTTAAAGCTTTGACTGTAATCTCTGCAGTTTACTTAAATATATGTTACTTAGCATTGTCCCTTTCTCCTTAATTCCATGTAAAACACTGCCTGTGTAGAACTGAATCAGTTATTTTCATAAAATTGTCTTCTCTGGACTTTATATCATGGTGGTTTTTATTATCCAAATACTCCACATTAAAAAGTGATATTGTAATTGTTTATTTGTGTTCTTATTTATTACCTTTCTTCCTCACCAGAATGCATACTGCAAGAAGGCTAGACCCTTGCTTTATTCATTTTTGTATCCCTAAGTCCTGTTACAGAGCAGATGCTCAATAAACATTTAAAATCCATGCGTGAATAAATGTTATTACCAAATGCCCTACCTGCCCACAGGTATATTGTGAAAAATAAGAGAGTACATGTGAAAAGCACCAGACTAAATTCACTTTAGCACTTTCAGTTATTCTTCTCTCTAATCGAAATCTTGGCAGTCTTCAGATCCTTATTCTTCCTGATGAATTTTTCTTTCATTTTCCTTTCAGTACCCATTCAGAGCATCTAAATCAGGTCTTCTCACATTGAGGCTGTTACTTTCATTTTTTTCTACCTTTAGTTTATTTTACACATTTTTAGGTTAATCTTAAAGCATTGCTTTGAGATCATCTGTACTCCCTTGTTGGCCTTCAGTATTCTACAGCCTGAAGCTCAAGTGCAGGCTCAAGAGGAAATTGGATACCTTTCATCTTCTAACTAATTTACCTTTAGTCTCTTTTCCCATTACATATGCTTTTTGCCCAAAATATTCTGGATTCTTGCTATTCTGTAATATGATACTTGAGTTTATTTATTTACTAATTTGAATTAATTACAGTCTTCTGTGGGCCAAGCCCTTTGCATCAAATATCAAAGACGAAGTGTCTGCTCTGAAGCAAGCAAATAATTATTTTAAACCTTAGAGCGTGATAAAGGCTGAAACAGGTGCTGTGGGTGCACAAAGGGCAACTTCTAACCTGGGATGGGGTGGGTAGGTCAGGGAAGATTTCACTAAGTAGTTTATACTTGAACTCGATTTTTAAAAATAAATAGGAATTAACTAACATTTGAATCAAGGAAGGTCTATTCCAAGCAAAAGGAAGCAAAAGCAAAACGTCAGAATAGAGACACCTTGAGGTGAAATTTGTGAATATTTCAGTGGCTGGAGCAAAGCATATGAGTGACTGGGTGCTAAGAGTCTGGAGACAAGCAAGAGCTGGGTCAAGAAGGACTTTTGTGTGTGGTTTCAATGTACATACTCTGAGGGCAACAAGAATCCAGGAAGAATTTTAAGTAGGAGCATTACTAGTCCAATTTGTCCCTTTGTTTATGTCGTCCCAAAAATCTGAAATACATCCCTTTCTCCTCTTTCCTCATAGCATTCACCTGTCCAAATCCTGCTCATTTTCCAAAGATCACAACAGATGCTGTATCTTCCATAAAATCCTTATAATCACTTGGTCAAAAGTAATTTCACTCTTTGTGTACCTATTCTCCAAGCCATATAGGTTTGAAACCTAAAAAAACCCATAATATAACAACGATAATGGGAATTCATAAAAAGAAAAAGATATTTATAATCTAATTACCAACATAACTTCGTATTGCACATTCTTTTCTAAACTTACAAATATGCATAACACAACTGAAATTACGACATAATTTAATTATGTTTTATATTATGTCGCATTACATAATTTAAAATTTTTAAAATCATTTTTAATGGATGTTTTATAAACCATTCCTGTATAACTGGATGTGAAGTTTGTTTTTAATTTTTAGCTATTTATACATAATGCCATAATTTTTATATGATTCTCCTTTTTTCTTTTTTTTGTTTTTTTCTTGTTGGAACTATTTTCTTATGCTAAATCCTCAAGATTAAGATAACTAAAACAAAATGTTTTGAATTATCTTTGACTTTAACTCCCTAACCTTAACCCCTCGCACAATCAGTGAATTACCAAGTGTTGTTTATCCTCTGATAATGTACTTGACTTCATTCTCTTTCTTTCCGTTCTCACTGTTTCTGCCTGTTCTGTCCCTCATGCCAGTATTATTGCAATCCTTTTTTCCTAACTGATTTCCCCCAATGTTTTCCCTTTTGAATTCAGCTTCTTTTCATGCCAGATTAGTTGCTCTAAGGCACTGCTTTGGATTAAAAAAAAAATCACTCGATTGACAGATATTTATTGAATTCATACTATGTGCCAGATATTAAATCTTTTAACTGGCATTTCAAGGTATGAACATCCTCCCCTCATTTACTTTACACCAGCCCTCTGACTCAGCCAGACTGGTATAGTCACTGTCTCCTGAACATGCCATACACATTCACATGCCATACACATTCACATGCCTGAAATTTTGTTTTAGAATGAGCTTCTGTTTAGAGTCCATTCTGCTTCCCTTTTCTCATTAACTTTAGTTTGACTCTTTCTTTAAAGCCCAGCTCTGTCTCAGTCCTCCCTCCCTGAAGCCTCTCAGTTTTCTCATTCTTCAGTTTTTACTCTTGTCTCTAAAGTGTTACAGCTGAGTAAACAACATCCTCATTCTCTTTTATTCACCAGATAAATTTGAAATTCCTTGATCTGTTTTTAAGGCTTTCTAAGATCTTGCCCCATTTTTTATTTTCAACCTGGCTTCTTATTATTCCCTAACATAAATTGTCTGTTTCCCTGGACTACTCTACTTTCTGTTCTTTAAATACTACATGCCCATTCCCACATCTATACCTTTCTTTGCTCATGTTCGTTCTTTTTCCCATCCCTTCTAGCTATTGAATCTTACCCATTTTGTTTAGCATATTATTTTAGTTTTAATTTTTTTAATGATACTTGCATTTTGAACAAAAACCAACTCATGTAACAATGTATAATCCGTGTGGGAGGCCCATATACTTAAAAAAGAGAGTAATACGATGTATATATATAAATCGTTAATGATTTCTACCACCTCTTCTTCCAGGTTTCTCCTCTTAAGGTAACCAGCATTAAAGGCTTGGTCTCTTGGTATGTGTCCTTCCATACCTTTCTCTTTGCCTCTAACACAGACTCTGTGAACCTTTAAAGGATGCTCCTTGCCCCAACAAGAATGGAAACACTCTACACCAGTATTCTCAAAATGTTGTCCAGGACCGTTGGGGGTTCCGTAAGACCTTTTCAGAAGGTCTGCAAGCATAACGATTTTCATAATATACTAAGGTGTTATTTGCCTTTTTGCTGGGTTGACATTTGCACTAATATGGAAAAGCAGAGGCGGGTAAATTTGCTGGTTCCTTAGCACTAATCAAGGTGGTGACACCAGCTATACTAGTCATTATAGTCTTCACTGCCATATGCTTATAGTAAATAATGCTAGTTTCACTTAATACCCTTGATGACACAATAAAAATTGTTAATTTTATTAAAACCTAGCCCTTGAAGACACAATTTCTTTTTTCCTATTTTATTGAGTTATAATTGACAGACACATAACATTGTATAAGTTTAAAGTGTACAATATGAAGATTTGATGATACATGTATATATTGTGAAATGTTTACCACAATAAGATTAGTTAACATATCCTTCACCTCACATGGTTACCATTTTGAGAACATTAAAGCTCTACTCTCAGCAAATTTCAGGTGTACAATATAGTTTTGTTAACTATAGTCACCAAACTTATTCATCTTATAACTGGAGGTTACACATCTTTTTAATGTTCTTTGTGGACTAAACGAGAAGTAAGCGTGAAACACTCTGCCGCACACTGAAGATGGTGTGTCAAGGAAAAGCCCTGGTGCAGTTTTCCAAATTGCAAGTGAAATTAGCTTCTTTTTCATAAAACTTGAAAGAACCACTGACAAACTAGTAATTCAGACCTGAGTATCCGATAGGCATTTTCCTGAAAATGAAGGAAGTGAGCCTGTTATTTCAAGGAAAACAACTGACAGCATATGTTGCCAATGATAAAATTCAAGCCTTCAGGTGAACATTAGAATTTTGGAAAAATTATATTTGCCATTTTGAACTTGACAGCTTCCCGATAAAGAGTTTTCTGATGAATTTAACAAATATGATTTTTTAAATGTTGCATAGTTAAATGCATAATATTGCAAAATAAGAATATAAGGGGGAATCCTGAAATAAAAAATGTTTGAGGATCACTTCTGTACCCGTTATCCTGCAGCTTGCTTTTTCACGTAGTATATCATGAACATTCAAAGTCAGTGATTTATATCTAAAATTCTTTTCCATAACAGCACAGTGATCCACATCAATTTAATTGTTCAGCTCTCCATGGCCATTCAAATTGCTTTTATCATTTTGCTAATTTAACTAATGCAGCAACAAACATTCTTTATATCTTTATGCATGGATGCTTTTATATCTGTAGTATGGATTTCTAAAAGTTGACCTGTTTTTCACTATCCGTCTTAATAAAACTTACCCTTCTTACATCTTCTCTGGTCATTTCTCCTTGTTTTTACCCCCTTTTAGCCTCTTACTCATTTATTGCCTTTTGATGTCCCCATGCTGTTGTCCTATTTTTTAAAAACTTCCTGTTCCTGTCTTGTCTTGCTAACTAGATTATAAAAATAGAAACTCCCCGAGGGCAGGGATGGTGTATTATAGTGTAGAGGCGCTCAGTAAATAATGAGAGAGGTTGATATGAGAAAAGAATGCCTTAATGGCTGCATTTAGTAGCCCAGATGGGTGCTGAGGGAAACCGTGCATTCGTGCATTCTTTCATTTTGGGAACTATTTGGTAATTAGAGTAACACTGCAACTTAAATCTCTCATTTCAGGCAAGTACATCGCCTCAACACAGCGACCTGACGGGACCTGGCGCAAGCAGCGGAGGGTGAAAGAAGGCTATGTGCCCCAGGAGGAGGTCCCAGTGTGCGTGGTTAGGAGTGAGGAGGGAGTATTTGATAGGGTCCTTACAGAAAGAAAGAACAAGTATGCCTGTGAGTTCAGGGAAGAATCTTCTGATCCCAGGAATGGCAGGACAACTATCTGAGAAAGGAGAGGAGGGGGTTGGGATTCAGAGATGAGGGAGGGTTACAAGTGACTAGTCCTGTTCCTATGGCTCTGTTCATCAGAACCTCCAAATAGCATTTAGAGAGATCCGGAACCTTGAGACCTAGGGACCCCGCTACCACCTGCAAAACAGAGGAAAGTTGGGGAGGGACCAAGGGAGAGTTAGGAAGTGAGATGAAAAGGGCGAAGTGATTTGGAAGGTTAAGAAAAGGGCTGGAAAAGTCAATGATTCTTTGAAACTTGACATTTTCTGTTCCTTGCAGGTATGAGAACAAGTATGTGAAGTTTTTCAAGAGTAAACCAGAACTGCCCCCAGGGCTGAGCCCTGACGCCACTGCTCCTGTCACCCCATCAAGACCTGAAGGTGGTGAACCAGGCCTCTCCAAAACAGCCAAACGCAATCTGAAGCGGAAGGAGAAAAGGCGGCAGCAGCAAGAGAAAGGGGAGGCAGAGGCTTTGAGCCGGACTCTCGACAAAGTATCTCTGGGAGAGACAGCCCAACTCCCCAGTGCTCCACAGGGCTCCCGGGCAGCCCCTACAGCTGCCTCTGACCAGCCTGACTCAGCTGCCACCACTGAGAAGGCTAAGAAGATAAAGAACCTAAAGAAGAAGCTTCGGCAGGTGGAAGAGCTGCAGCAGCGGATCCAGGCTGGGGAAATCAGCCAGCCTAGCAAAGAGCAGCTGGAGAAGCTAGCAAGGAGGAGGGCACTGGAGGAGGAGCTAGAGGACTTGGAGCTAGGCCTGTGAAGCCTTTGGGGAATAGGAGAATGGACTGCAGAACAAACCATAGGGCTCTCTGGGATCCTGGTGAATGTGGGCAGCAGCAGTCAGGAGGGCTCTCCCCACATACTGGCCCACTTCCACCTCTCATGGCCCAACTCTGTCCTCCAGAGCCTAACCTCTCCTTCATTCCTTCCTTTTCCTTCTGAACTGCTATTTTTTGGACTTTTCCCTGCTCCCATTCCCAGTGTTCAAAAATCTCAGTGACTACCCCAGGTTCCTTTGCTGCTGATCCGGGCGTCTTGTTCAAAGGAAAATTGGGAGGGTGGGAATCTTTTGGAGAACTGAGGTTGAGGGTGGGGGAGTACGCCCAAGTCTTGGAGTCTTGGTTCTTGTTCAGTGTTTATGGATTATTTCCCCCGCCCCCCCATCCATGACTTTTTTTTTTAAAGAACAGAATAAACAAGTAGACAAATTGTCTAGCTTTGCCTCTTTCTTTTCAGCTTCTGGTAGGTGTTTTATCTCTTTCAGTTTGGCACAGGAAGACAAGTTTTGGGAGTAGAGTAATATGCCTTTTAATTTTTAAATTTATGACCACATTAGCAACACTGATTTCTATATGTTTGCTCAGATTTCAGTGAACAGAAATTAGTGTTAAAATAAAATGAAACAACAAATTTCATTTGATATGTTAATTTTCAAGTGTCATCATCCTGCTTCATAGTAATGGGGCTTTGTACTGCTCTTAACTGTTTCTGAAGATAGTTGGCCTACTTCATAGCCTCCCTGGGGCAGCTCATCTGAAATTTTATCTTATCACCCCAAGATGGCATTGTGGGGCAAACTGATGATACAGGAAGAGGAATTTACAGCCAAAAAGAGATGTCACTTAATTTTTCCATATCCTCTGATTTCCACACCCTCCTCTATCACAATCTTTATTTCCGGCCAGCTGCTAGTGGAGAAATCAATGGAGGGAGAAGTCAGCTGTAATGAACTATCTAGGGAGTTCAAAAGTTCTTAGCCGGACTCAGAAGGTCCCATGCAATCTGGCCTCATTTCTTGCCATTCTTCGACTCTGCTCAAACTGCTCCAGCTATACTGAACTTTTTAGTTCGTCAAATGAGCCATATTCTCTCTGAGCAGAACCCTTGCTATTTCCTTTGCCTAGGTTCTCTTCCTGACCCCCTCTCCTTAATCAACTTTTCCTTAGCCTTTGGATCAGCCTCTCTGGGGAAACTTCCACTACCGTCAAATACTAATTTAGGTGCCTCTCTTTTATTTGCAAAATTTTTTATTTTTCAATTACAGTTGACATACAATATTATATTAGTTTCAGACGTACAACATAGCGATTAGACTTACAAAGCGATCACCCTGATAAATCTAGTACCCATCTGACACCATACATACTTATTATAATATTATTGACTATACTCCCTATGATAGTCTTTACATTTTGTAACTACCAATTTGTACTTCTTAATCCCTTCCCCTTTTTCACTCATCCTCCCCAACTCCCTCCTATCTGTTATCCATCAAAATGTTCTGGTTCCTCTCTCTAACTCACTTCCTTATCACTCTACACTTATGGTTATGGTAGCATTTATTACATTATGTTGTCATGCTTGTTTACTTGTTAGCACTTCTTGTCCTCGTTAGATCATTTGTGCCTCAAGCCTTGGGACTGTGTTTTCCATCACTGTATCCCAGTACCCAACATAGTAAATTTTCAAATATTTGCCTAACTGAATGATGCCACAAGTCATGTGGAGAAACAGAAGAGGAGGGATAATTTGAGCCTTGCACAAATGATCAGTTAATGAGGACTTGACTGGGCACCTCAGTGTGAGACCAAAACCCCAAGTTCCCTTGTGTAGGACCCCTAGCCAATTATAAAGATTTTATAAATAGGATTTAATTGGCTTATATGTAGGTGTTTGATGCTTTCTAAGTTTAGGTGTTTTAGAAGAATCTATACTTTAAAAACCATTATTAAGGAGACATTTGCTTTGCAAAAAGATTTATCTCAGTAAACCTTTACATTTCCTGGGTCTTTAGTGGTTGGATTAAAGTTTATTTTGATATATGTTGGACCCTGTCGGTCATTGTGTTAGTCCAGAGGAATGCAATTATGAATACATTGTAGAATCTTCATTTAAGGAAGCTATTAAGTCATGCCAATCACAAATTATGTACTAGGCAGATTTAATTAAGTTCTATGGTAGAAGTACCAGCAATGTGTTGAGGGAGAGCTAAGAAAAACTATTTTGATTGAGAGGATGGAGAGGCTTAATGGTGGAGGCTGAATTTGAAGAATACCATAACTTGCATCTCTAGAAAGGCAGGGAGGGAAGAGCAAAAGGCTCTGCTGCATGAAAGGTATATGGTGAATTTGCTTTCAATTTTCAGGACCATATTTCCTTATGTAAACTCAATGTTAATCACCTGATAGAGGATGAAAATTCGCACTAAGCTAGTGTTTTCTAAATGAAGTTCATGAAATTAGTTTAGAAAGTTGTGACCAATATAGTTTCTTAAATAGAAAATAGCAGAGACTGATGCTTAATATGGGTAAATATGTCTTGTAATAATTTTGCTCACTCTCTGTATATATATGCACACACATGGTTAGAATGTAAGAAATATTCCTTTCTTGATTTGTAGGAAAATAAATTTGGAAGCCACTAATCAAATCTGCACTGAGGGGCTGAGGCATCAAATACTCTCCTGGTCTTTATATTTAGAATGGGTTGGGTAGAGGGACGTTAGTTTAATTATTTCCCCAATGGACCCTTGGAGCTTATGGCAAAGTAAATTAGCCCCTGGCTTTCTTTTTACTCTTGAAGCTATATTACTATTTATTTGGCATTACTTTCCTCTTTGCAGACGTTTCCTTTCTAATGTGTAAATAGCAAAGATTCTAGTAAGTTATTTTAGGACTGGCCATTAATCCTCACGGGCTCAGAGCCCATGTGTTAGCTTCTTATTGTCCACTAGATGGTACTGTGAGGGGGCCAATATTTGTCCCTCTACTCCAGTTTATTTTGAGATTAGCAGATAGGTTTATTCAGCTAGAAAATCTTTTCAGGCTCCCAGGCATTCCATCTCCCTCCCCTCCCCAACCGTAACCCAATCCTACAAATTGAGGAGGATAGAGAATCTGGGATTGAGAGGCTACAATTTTTGATCAGTCTTACTTTCTCTCGAAAGAGATCAGGAATGCGTTTTGTTCTCCCTTGGAGATCAGAGAAGATGCTGAACTGCAGTGGAAGTGATGGAGGTCCCAAAATGAATAATTGGCTGAGAGAAGGAGAGAGAGCAGATGTTAAAGGATCTCTTCCTTGGGAAAGCAACAAGTCACAAAATTTGATTAAATTTAGCAAATATTTTTCAAAAGCCAGGAGAATATGAAGTTGAATAAATTTTGGTGCCTTCTTTCTAGAACCTCAGGAATAATAAAGGATAAGCACTTAACAATAATACAGTATGATAAATACTGTATTAGGGGCACACACACGGTGCTGTGGAAGCAGAGAAGGGATCCCAAAGCTGTGGAGGTGGGGGCAGAGAGGTGATCAGGGAAGGCTTTCCTGAGGAGATGACTTCTAGGCTGAGGCTGAGGCTGGAAGCATGAATAGGAGCCATCCAACATCCTGTAAATCTACAAGGTTCTGCTGTACTCAGGTCTCTCCTGGTGATTTCATTTACTCCTGTGATTTCAGTAATTATCTCTGTGCCAATAACTTCCGATCTTTCTCTAGTCCAGTCATCTCTAAAACCTGCCCAACCAGTATCTCCTATTTGGATGTTGGTGCTTCAAATTCAGTTTAAAACCAAATCCTGAAAGAGGCCTGAGGCCGTTTATTTCTATGGTAAGGATATAATTTTTATCTTTATTATTCAGGTGGAAATCTTAGTCACTTCTTATCTGAACCACTGCAACACACACTAACTGGTCTTCACTTAGATCTCTTCTCATCACTCACTTCCCTAATCTGTCCTACATGTACACTTTGATCTTCAACAGGGTTTACCTCCCTCAAACCCAGTGTTGATGGTATCATTTAATTGAACCACAATTTTAGTGTTTCCTAGCTCCTTCCTAGCTCTTTCCACTATGTGAGGGTATGAGACACCTGCAGTCTGGAAGAGGACCCTCACCTGACCAGGCTGGCACCCTGATCTCAGACTTTCAGCTTCCAGAATTGTGAACAAATTTCTTTCTTTCTTTCTTTTTTTTTTTTTTGCACACACACACGTGTGTGTGTGTTTCTCTGACTTGAAGTTCATCAAACTTTTTGGATCAAGGTTTATTTATTTATTTATTTATTTATTATTTATTATTTTTTAAAATTAAATCTGATGAATTTTTGGTCATAATTTCTTCAGATATTCTTTCCTGTTTTCTGTATTTTCCAGTACTCTATATCACATGCATGGTAGAGTATTTGATATTTTCCAACAGGTCACTGAGGCTCTGTTCATTTCTGCGCCCCACCCCCCAGCTTTCTCGTCTTTCTGTGCTTCAGTTTAGATAGTTTTCAGTTCTATGTATTCCAGTTCACTAATCTTTTCAACTGTATCATCTACTTTGGTATTAAGTCCATATGATGGCGTTTTTTCATTTTTTTGATAGTTGATATACTTTTCTTCATTGTATTTATGGTTTTCTTTAAATATTTGAACTTATAATAGGTGTTTTAAAATCCTTAACTACTAATTCCATAATTTCTGTCATTTCTGGGTCTGTTTTTATTATTTAAGTTTCTCCAGGCTATTGATCGCATTTTTCTTATTTTATTTTATTTACTTGTTTATTTATCTGGTGGTTGGAGGGAGTATGTCTAGTAGTAATTATTAGATGCTGGACATCGTAATTGTTACACTGTTGAATTTCTGGATATTACGGTCTTCCTTTAAAAAGTATTGGGCTTTGTTCTGGAAGGTAGTTAATTTACTTGAATATCAGATTGATACTTTTGAGACGTATTTTTAAGTTTTGTTAGGGTAGGTCTAAAGAAGCTTTATTCTTAGGCTAGTAGGAGGCCTACTCCTAAGGCATGGCTTTTTTTCTTACGATCTTTTCTGAATGCTCTGAGTATTCAACAAGGTTTCTCCATTCTGACTAGTTGGAACTCTAATTTTTCCATCCCTGTGTAAACTTCAGTAATTATTCACATTATAATTCTCCAGCAATTATTCCTTACCTGGTAGGTGATTTGGGGCCAGTTTTATGGAGTCTCTCCTCTCATTTCCACTCATGAGCAGCTTATTATTCAGCTAAAGACTCCTAGGGCTAATATGCAAATTTGCATAGCTCCCTTCTCTCCAATATGCCCCCACAAAACCTATTCTCCTCAGCCTCCCCCAGATCTAATCTCTGTCCCTTCACTTCGGCAAAACCACTGTACTCTGCTTGTATTTCCCATCACTGTGCTGTAGTCTGGAAAGTGTCTCTGGGCACATAATTGGGATAA